GCGTCGGGCCACCTCCCCTGGGACAGTTGAGCGCATGAACGCCACGGACGTCCACCGTGCGGCCACACGCCGGGCCGACCTGCGCCATCGCGCGGGCGGGCGCTGCCGGTCGGTTCAGGCACGTGCACTCGGACTGCAGCAGCGGCAGATGCATGCGCCTCTTGGCCGCAATGCAGAACGCGTGGTCGGCGAGGGGCGAGACCCCCTCGAAGTTATCCAACCAGGCGCCCGCTGAGCTGCCCGAGGCACTATGCACCGCCGCCGCCGCCGTCACCGGCAGCGCGGCCAAGAACGTCTTGGTGGCGTGGTCCTGCACGTGCTGGGTGTACGTCTTCTGGCCCTTGCCCTTCCGCCCCTCCAAAAGGCCCTGCCAACGGTCACTCTGGGGGCGGCGGCCTCCTGCCAGCCGCCCCTGCCCCTCGTCCGCTCCCGAGAGGGCACGGCCAAGGCCCGGCCACCTCCGAAAGAGGCCGGTCGTTGTCGTCTCTCGGAGCTCCTGGGCAGCCGCGTGGATCCCGGCTTCCCAGGACGCCAGGAGGGCAGCGGGGCCGCGCTGTTCGCCGCTGCCACAGCCCAGGCCTCCGTCGCTGACCTTCATGAAGATCTGCTCACGGGGGGCAGCCGTGACCCCCAGAAGGGCGTTGACGAAGGCGACCACTCCGTCATCTACCCTGCGGCCCCGCGCCGCCGCGAGCGGGAGCGCCCGCTATGGATGTGGACGCAGGCGCCCCTCGACCAGATCCGCATCAACTGGAAGGCATCAAAGGCCGAAAGCCCACGCCTGCGGAGCGCCAGGAGCTCTCGGAAGTAGCGGTCCTGCTTCTGGAGGAAGGCCTCGCCGCAGGGGAGAGGCGCGGCGGCACCCGGGGCGGCCCCGGCACCGCCAGCCGGCGCGAGGCCCCCCTCGTCGAGGTCCTCTGGCACAGCAAAGTCCGCGAGCGGGACGCCCCTCCAGTCGGCGTCCACGTCGTGGTTTGTGTAGGCCAGGGTTGACCCCACCGCCGTGAGCTTCTGGACGCGGTACTGGGCGTACTCCGCAAACTCTGCTGGCAGGACGGCGTGGTGATCTGGGGACCAGATCTGGGTCTTGGACATCTTCAGCTTCATCCCGTGGGCTTCGATGCGGGCTCGCCAGGCATCCAAGCCGCGGAACACGGCGGCCGCGGCACCCACGAAGCACGCGTCGTCCAAGAACGCCCGGCAATCCCCTTCCATGTCCACCGCGCGCACGGCCACGCGACCGACGCTGAGAACATCCGCGGTGCCGACCGCGTAAAAGCCTGGACTCATCGGGCAGCCCTGGTCGAGGCCACGGATCTGGTCGACCAGCTGGGCGGGTTGGGACCCACCCCCCGCCGCATGGCGCGCGCGAGCAGGGAGCCAGGCCTCCGCCAGCGGCGCCAGAGCAGGCACCTTGGCGGGCATGGCCTCCTACACGAGGTCGCGGGGGATGTTGCTGAACGCATCCCCGAGGCCCACTGCCACCACCCACTTGCCTGGGCTCGAGTTGGCCATCGTACACAAACGTCGATGGAGGGCACCGCATCCGTCCTTGGCCAGGCCAAACTGCTGGTCCCCCACCGCTGCCCGCATATCTTTGTGGTGGACCTTGGCAGCACTGCGGCCCACCATACGACGGGTGTGACATTCCCACTGCCCAGGACTCGCACGTCCCCAAGAGTTGCCTTGGGGATGCTTGTGAGGCGCGCCGCCGTCAGGGCAGCTAGAGCCTCGGCAGGAAGGTCACCGATGGCCAGGCGCGCCAGCGTGTCGGCCACCGCCTCTGCCCCATCCTCGTCGTACTTGAGCGGGGCCCAGTGCTCATAGCGCCCCCCTCCAGGCCCCGCCCCGCCGCGGCGGGGGAAGCGACCAAACTGACGCTTGAGGTGGTTGGCCACGCGGCGGTGGAGCTCTGCCGCACCGTCGAGCTCTTGAGGGGGCGTGGCTGGCGGCATCGCCACATCGGCTCCCGCCGCTGTGGGCCCCCCCCCGGGCCCATGCGGGGCGGCCCCAGTGCCAGGGGGAGGGCCCCATTCGCCTGGGCGAGACGCCGCAGGCTGCTGGGTGGTGCTGAACTTCCTCACCACCGCCGCTGCATCCGCCATGTCACCCTGGGGCCACACTGCCGCTGCCGCCCGAGACATCTCGCCAGCTCGTGCAAGCTCGGTGACACGGCGCACACGGGCCGCGACGTGATCCTCGCGGCCCTTCGCGGTGACCGCGGCGCGCGTCTGGTCCTCCATGGAGAGCCAGGCGACATCCAACTGGCCGTCCTGAATCCACTGCAAACGCTCCTGGAGACGCTCACGCCGCGTCGTCGGGGTCGGGGTCGCATTTTCGCTGAACAGCAGCCCATCCAACGATGAGAACACCTTCCACAGCCGCGTCAGCGTGCGCGACGCCTGATCATCGTTGCCCTGGCGGGCCTGCTCGATCGCCAAGCACAGCCGCACCTTCACGTGGCTGACGGCGGCCGCCACGCTGTCGGGGACCATGGCCG